GAGAGAAAAAAAACATTAAAACATTAAAACTAAAAAGCCCATATGATAATAATCCAAACGAAAAAACTAAAATACATAACAGCTGCGTGGTTTGAACCCACACACTTGCAGACTTAATTAGATGCCTTATACCACTTTGCTAAAGTGTATTCATTGTTCATAGTCATTTTAAAAAAACTATAAGCTTTAAAGATTTAAATACGTGGGGCCTACTCGGCTGCTGACGTGGATAGCGTTAGGAGCTTCAAAAGTGAATCATTATTATATAGATTATACTTTTTTCTATAAAAGTGGTGGATGCATCTATGTAGCTATGAAATCTTTCTTTTTCTAGAGAAATTTTGACAATTACAGGATCAAAATGAACTAGATTATATGAAGTCTCTATTTTCTAGAGAACTTTGGACAACTAAGGTATCAAAACTCTTTTATATTCATCTTATATCAATGTTGGATATAGCTATGCATATATACAAAAATTCTGTATTTTCAAATTAATCTTGAAATATGTGGATTAATCCCTACGAAAAGATTGAATTTTCTGATAAATGCTATCTATAATATTTAGCTTCTTTAGTGTTATTTAAAAATACCTAATCACATATTATATCTTTATTTATGTATGTTATTTTTATAGTACATGGGTATTGTTTCTAATATTTTAGTGAGTAATTTAATAAAACTTCATATTCCACCTAATATTATGGCTTAACCCCTATAAAATCTATAATTTCTATAGAAACTAGCTTGGATAAATAAAGTCCAGACATTTTTAATTTTCATCACATGTCAGTGCGTGATGAAGTTATGTTTTTTAAAAAATACTATATTTTCTAAGTTATCTTACGAAAAGATCATTTTTTCCAATAAATGATATATATACTCAATTTTAACCTCATTAATATTTTTTTAAATACCTAAGAATTAACAGGTTTTTCTAATAAATGGTATTTATACTTAAGTTTAGCCTATTTAATGTTGTTTAAAATATATAAATTATATTTTTTTCTAAGAATTAATAGCTTCTAAAAACATATGTTTTGGTTTAGCATTGCATAAAAACTATAATGATTCATCGTCAAATGCTACAGTTACCAACAATTCCAATAGTTCTCCTTACATATTGCATTGATTCATCGTTAAAATTTTAAATGGTTGATAACCAAACGTTGCAAATTTTCATTTTAATCAGTTGCAACTATTCATTTTAATCAATTGCAACTTTTAATCAATTTTAACCAGTTGCAACTATTTAAAAAACAGTTTCATTATAGAAAGACATCTTATGTATTTTTTAGAAAGACATCTTAGGTATTTTTTCAAAATCTAATTTTGCTTTGCGATGAAGTTCTACATTAATTTTAATTGTTATTATTAATAGATAAGACGTTTATATATTGTAAACTAAAAGAATCAAGATTTCAAAATATTTTTTTGCTCATGACAAAACGAACAATCTGCGGGTGCAGCTCAGTCTTAACTCAATAGTGGTCAGGAATAATAATATTATAGCCCTTGGGAGTTTCCTCCCACTTTCTCCCACTATTTTTCACCAAGAATTACACTACTCAGATAATTCAAAGTAGTTGTAAACGTGTTGTATCAAACATGAACGACAAAAGGAGATGGTTGAGAGTCATCAGACGTCAACTTAAGGCTGTGAGAAGCAATTGAATTACTGAGAGGATGAGCAATATTGATATCATAGTCACCATGGAAGAGTGAAGCTTCAAAGAATCCATCAGCATCAGTTAAACCTGTGGTTTGCCCACGAAGCCCTCCCCACTCACGTAGAAGTTTGTCCACAACATCTCCTGTGGGTAGGTTCCTAAAGTTTCCATCGGTCAGGCACATTTGGTAGCAACCTGATGGTGAATAACCACTCCAAGTCACCATTCCTTTCACTTGCGGATGCGCATGGCCTTCCCTTAGGACCTGCTCGAAAAATTTGGCCTACAAGAAACTCGAATATCAGAATAAAGAATTAGAATGGGACATGTTATTTGGTAGGCCGTCTAGGAGACATCGTTGGTCCTGAAATTTTGGCCTTCGACTTCTAAAATTTTAAGATATACTCCATCTTTTTCACAATGTTACAGGTTTTTTTTAAAAAAACTTGTTTCAAAAAGATACTTTTTTATATTTTCAAAGTATATTTTATCAAATAATAATGATTAATCACAATTTTCAAAAAACTTAATTGCATTTATTAGATTCTCATTGGTTTAGATTTATAGAAAAAATGATAATCACTAAAAACTATGCATTATTATGTGCTTTATTAATATATTGTTTTATTAGCTGGCACATAAACCCTCAAATTATATATATATATATATATATACACATTTTAATATTAAAGTTTTTACTAAATTTCCATAGTCTTTAAAATCTGACCATGACCTAACTAAGATAAGATATATTTAAATTACCTGGACATTTGGAGGAGCTTGGACGTCAACCTCAGTGAGCCAAATAGGCAAACCAGTGGCAGCAAGAGTGTCAAGAGCTGATCTCATATAAGGAATGTTAGGAGTTTTAAAATGAGACTCAAGACCGATCCCTTACTGAATCTTTCCAGCAACACGAATAGATTGAAGCTCTCGAAGTTTCCCCAAATACTTTGCTGGACTAGAAGCCTCATCTCCCGGTTGCTCCAACGTATTGTATTCATTCATAAACATTGTTGTCCGTGGGTCGATAGAATGCGCCAACGCATAGATGTTATAAGAGGCTTGAGGACCCATCTTGCTCTCAAGAAACGAGAAAAGTAGATTCTCATTCACAACGTCCCAACTCTCAAGCTGGCCTTTGTATCTTGAAACCAAAGAGGAAACCCTTCTTTTCACAGCGTTGTAGAGATCGTTACCGGTCAAAGAACTCACCCATCTTTGCTGATACTTAGGGTCGTTCCATACAATGTTGTGTCCACGTACAGCGACACCATGTTGTTTGAAGAATCTTAACATAGCGTCTGCTGTGGAGTAATCCTCTTTGCCTTGTACTACTTCCGTGCTATACCATTTCATCTCGTTAGCGAAAGTTGTCACGGTGAATCTCTTAGTGAACCAGTTTTGGTATGCTTGGTTTCCAAGAATGTTGTTTTCTACCTCGCAACCAAATGGGAAACCGAGTCTATTTTGTACGATGGAGATTGTTGCGTTTGGTACTGGCTCACCAGCGCTGTTTACGGCTCTGATCCTCATGGCTCCCTTCCTCGTCTTGTGAATGCTCTCCTCGTGGTGAGTGTTCCACTCTTCTTGTGTGAATGGTTGCAACGAGACGCTATCAACCCGTATCTCAACGGTTGTGTCCTCGCTCTACACATGTCCACGGGAATAAGAATCACCATATAGGTCAGTTTCTCTTTTTCTAATTACATGTAACGTTTTTTTTTTCTTTCTGAAACACTCATGTAACGTTTTTATTTTCATATTTTAAAATTAAAAAACATTTATTAATTAAAACTAGACGGTTACTTAGACAAACAGTCGAGAGTCGAGACAATGACTATGTTTGTGTCTGTAGATACCTCAAAGTAAAGTTCGGCAGGACCAGATTCATCAACAGTGAGACCACCTTTGAGCATGGACCAGCACTTTGATTCAGCAATAACCGCACCGGCATGCGTATATTCACCATTATTATTCTTGAAAACGGCTCTCACGGGAGCCTTTCCTTTGCTTACTTGTAACCAAGCTTCACGTAACACAAATTCGAAACAATATTTACCAAAAAAAACAATATATATATATATATATATATTATTTTTTTTAAACAACATTTACCAGAGAAAGTGTAGAGAAGTCCCTTTTCCAAATAAACTTTCTGTGAGACGCTGTCATAAGATTGGTTCCTTCCTCGTGCAACAACAAACTTATTGCCTCCGGATTCTCTGAAATCAAGTTTGGCGTTTGCGAATTGTGACCAGCCTTGTGAACCATTTTGTAGGTCAGGGTTCACGAATCACGATGATCCCTCCATTGTACTGTGGTTTATAAGGGATGTCTAGACACTACACCAAGACAAAAGGATTAATAGATAATCAGAAACATAACTTTCCAACGAAACATTGTCTGAATACAGAACAGAGAATAGCTTGCCTCTATTGTTGCCGAGTAATCGTAAGGTGCATACTTTTGCTCACACCCTGCAAACGTTTTCATAAAAAATTAGGATAAGACCTGCGCCTTGCGCAGGGTGAATATATGTAATTAAAATATAAAATTTTAATATTCACAAATTTAAAATTTACATATGATTGTTTTTGTATGTATTTGAAATTTTAGAATTTTGGAATTTTTATATAATTATCTATACGTATGATCAAAAACAACTTTAATTAGAAATGTAAATCAAATCTTAGAATTTA